TTGGGAATATGTTTGTATTTCATGTGATTAGAACACCGTACATACAACATTAAGTGTCAGAGTCATTTGTGGAGCATCTATAATGTGCCTGGCACAGTTTCAGATGTAGGGAGGGTGGGAGGAGTGGACAGTGAGGAGTTGATGTTCCCCTGCCCTACAGAAGCCCTCAATCCTGCCAAACAGACAGGTCCACACCTAACTCTAACATAATGTAATATAGTCAGACGCCATTTAACGCCCCCAAATGTCTTCCCCTCCCTCCCTCACCTAGTCCTGTCCACATTCCAAGGTGATTTCAATCTAGTTATTGATTCTCAACCATTTGATGAAGAAATTACATAACAGGGAATTATTTACCTGTATCCCAAAGGAGATTCATTTTTCCTCCAGTCTCAAGTAATAAGTAGGATTCAAAGAATTAGCCTCATTAGAAAACGAATCTTTTTAAAAATCTTTTTCAACCAAACCTGGTCATTTGTTTTTTGATACTTGTTGCTTTAGAGACAAGAGGGGGGGCCATGGTGACTTACACCTTAGCCTCGTAGCATTCCCAGAGAATTCCAGGGCATTAAGATCATTTCCAAATCAAGTGAAAGAGACTGTCAGCAGGTGCAATTGAGAAACCATTCCAGGGATGTGGTATAGGGCAGAGCCAAGCCAAGCAGCAAATGAAAGAGGAAATGGAAAAGAGAAGGAGGTTAGAAGAGAGAAATGAAAATGGCGCATGGGCCTGCTGAGAAGCAGATGCAGTTATGCCATCCTTGAGATCAGAGAGAGCTACTGAGAGATGGAAGCATCTGGATGGAGAGCCTGGGAGGCCAATGTGAATAACTGAGACCTCTGGTATAGGGTGTCTGAGAACCAGGGAAGAAGGAGGGGAAGGGAGCAGGGAGACTTGGATACAATAACCAGCATTAAGAGGAAGTCACCCAAAGCCCAGGAAATGGTCAAAGGCCTGAACTATTGTGTCTGGGTGGGGAGAACATGAACAATGGGAGAAAGCACCACAAAATTATCCTTCAGAGATCCTCAGGCCCTGGAGCACCTTTTCACTATACAATCCATCTCAGCCATCTCCCTCCGGCATTAGAGAGTGTGTCTGAATGACACGTCTTACCCAGATATACCTCCAAGCAAAGCCTTTCACTGTCCAGCATGATAAAGCATCTAAAATGACTCAGGGATGAAAAGACAATGCCTAACACTGCCACTCCCCAGCTGGAGGCTGCCCGATGATGAACGTCTCCCACTACAAAACAGACCTTATATTGTCTGCTTTGCCTATCTTTGTAGGTTGTTTGGGGTTCAAATTTTATGTCAGCGTTTTGTAAATGGTGAAATAGTGAATATATATAAGTAATTCTGCTTCTCTTCTCCACTTCTTCTTCAATATATAGAGGACTTCAAAAAGTTTGTGGAGATTGTCCATTGTTTCATTCCATTTTCCCATAAACCTTTTGAAATCCCCTCACACAAGGTTTGAATGTTCTGGTGTGGCTCTGTAGGATAAGCACTGGACTGCTCGCCACAACGCCGGCAGTTCAAACCCACCAGATGTTCCTTGGCTTTCTGTTCCCACACAGATTTTTAAAAGTCTGAGAAACCCTATACAGTGTTGCTATGAGTCAGAACCTACTCGACCGCATTTAACAACAACATCTGGTAGCGTAGTGGTTACGAATCGGGCTGTGAACCTTAAGGTCAGCGGTTCGAAACTACCAGCTGCTCCGCGGGAGAAAGATGAGGCTTTCTACTCCCGTAAAGATTCACACCCTCGGAAACCCTGTACAGGGTCGCTATGGGTCAGAACTGACTCAACGGCACTTAACAACAACAACAACATACTAAGTTAACCTTCTTTGGCAATGTCAGCATTACAATGGCCCAGATCTTCAAGTTTCAAGATGCCTTCTGATACTGTAGACCTTTCATTCTTTGCACTGCCCTTTGATCCAGAAAGTTTCCTCTAGCAAAAAAAAAGTTACTATCCAGTGAATTCTGATCCATGGCGACCCCGCATGTGTCAGAGTAGAGCTGGGCTACATACAGCGTCCAAGAGCTGACTTCTTAAAAGTAGATCACTGGGCCTTTCTTTCAAGAAGCCTCTGAGTGGGCTGGAACCTCCAGCCTTACCATTAGCAGTCAAGTACATTAACCATTTGCACCAGCAAGAAATCGTCCTCTAGCATAAAAGCTCTCGTTTCCTCCAAGGAAAAGGAATCAAAACAATATAGCTAATTATGGCTCTGTTTTTCTGCTATCAAAATCTGAGATCTGACCTCTGAAAAAGACAGTGGTTAACAGCACAGTTGTCAGAGGCAGACTGCCTGATTTGAATTCTAGCTTCTCTACCTAGTAGCTGTGTGACTTTGGGCACCTCTGAACCTTGGTTTCATATCTATAAAGTGGAGATGACAATAACATTGACTTCATAGAATTGCTGTAAGGATTAAATACCTTTATGTATATATACATTATGGCACTGTATGATAAGCACTGAACCACAAGGTCAGTTTGAATCCAAGGTGGATCAAACCCACTAGTTGCTCCTCAGAAACCCTATACAGGGTCGCTATGAGTCAGAACCAACTGGGCAGTACTTAACAACAACAACAACAACATAGCTTTAAACAGTAACTGATTAAAGTAACTGGTTCATGGTAAGAGTTCAATGAATGTAAACTTTTGATCACGATGACGCTGAATCTGTGTGGTGATGATGATGGTGGTGGTAATGGTGGTAATGATGGGCTGTTTGGTTTCTAGGGAAGCTCTTCACACCTCTCCAAGCACAGTGATCCCTCTGCCCATCCTTTCTTCTCAGAAGCCCAAACCACTTATATACACAATGTTTCATCAAAGCTAATATTTTCATTTTAAATGACAGTCAAGACATTGGATGTGAACTTAACAAATACAGGTCAATTACCCCGGGGCCCCACTGACTCATTTCATATATCACCAGAATGATTCACGTTCTCTTCCTCTCCCTTAAATGGAAGAACAATGCTTGCCTGCTCTGTCATGGTGCAGGAATAAGTGGGATTGTTTGGTTAGACAGCTTTGAACTTGTTCGATGAAAGGAGCTATTTAAGTACAAAGGAGGAGGTGAGGGTGGTTGGGCCAGGACTAAATTAAGGTTAATCAAGATTGCTCTTTCTTAGTGGGACCCACTCTTGGGTAAGTGCCTCAGGGATGTGTCACCTGTGCCCAAATATCTCCTCCACCACTTGGGAACAAAAGGTCCAGTGGCCACAGAAGGGGGTGACAGCTCCTGACCCTTCTAGAGCATCCTACAATGGAAGTCCTGAGGCCTCCCAAGCCAACCAGACCTGTCTACTTGGACACTGGCCAAAAGGTAGCATTCTGGATTTGAGAGGGGCTGTAGGCAGAGAAGCCAGGCTCTGAAGCCTGGTGTGCTTGGGACTGTGGTCACTCTGCAGCCACAGCCCTACACCAGGAGGGACAGGATTAGACAACCATCAACTGTATTTTTAAATTTCTCAGCAAGCTATTCCAATTCAGAGAGTTCACTGAGCAAAGAGGAGATAAAAACTACGTCCTAGAGCAGGTTTGCCGGCTTCGCTTTAACACTTATCGCTTCATTGACCAAAAAGCAAGGGGCCTAGAAGACAAGAAGGCATAGGGCTTGGGAATTGGAAGACCCTCAAAGGCCATCTCATCCAGTCCCATCAGATGCATGAGTCCTCATCTCAACATCCCAGCTTGAATGCTCTCCAATGTTGGCCCATGTTTGATCAGCTGTGGCCCTGAGTTGTAGAGAGTTGCTGGCTCTCAACCATGGCTGCTGAAATGTGAAACTTCTGGTTTACTTATTGATTTGTGATTTGTCTTGTTGTTATGTGCCGTCGAGTCGGTTCCGACCCATAGCGACCCTATACAGGGCTTCAGAAGCTGTAAATCTTTACAGAAGCAGAAAGCCTCCTCTTTCTTCCACGGAGCAGCTGGTAGTTTCGAACTGCTGACCTTAAGGTTCGTAGCCCGATTCGTAACCACTACGCTACCAGAGCTCCTTTATGACCTGCAAATTCCAAGCTGCTGGAGGACAAGGGAGCCTGCGGGCAAGCTTGACCGGGTCAACATGTTTGGACCTCTCTAATCTGATAATGTAACAAAGAGAGGTTTAGCAATTGTTGACATTCAATGTTTTTGAAGTTTTGCAGCATGCAGAGGAATAGCACTGTTGAAGGCAAGCAAATTGTCCATCCAAAGGTACTTAGAGAGCCAAGCCAGCTCCTCCTATAGAGTGTCGCCAATCGGGGGTGCACTTTCCAAGTAAATTCCCTGACCCAGTAGTTCTCAAACTTAAACTTGTATCAGAATCACCTAGAAGACCACATAAAACAGACTGCTGTACCCCAGCCCCAGAGTTTCTTGTTTAGAAAGTCTGGGGCGGGGCACGAGAATTTGCGTTTCTAGCAAGTTCCCAGGTGTTGTGATGCTACTGGTCCCAGGACTACATGTCCAGAACCGCCGCCCTAACCCTTTTAATGTTTATTTCTTTTCCCTTCAAAGCTTCCAGTGTATGGGCTTTGGATCTTGTTCAAAGAGACTGGAGTTCAGGTCATAAGTCAGTAATCTGCTGAGAATAATAGCAACCACGCCCTCTTCGCAAGCTTGTCTGTGACGCCCCAGAACAGTATCTTGCTTTTAATGGGCGTTCAATCATGAAGGCTTCATTTAAGTAGGATAGGAAGGTCTGGCAGAACCTCTGACTTTGCACGAAGATCAGATGACTTTAGTCCGATAAAAGGGGGTTTTGCATAGGGTCTGTCTTAAATGCTCTGTGGATCTTGCTTGGACTGAGAGCCAGCTGGCTCGTCTATACCATGTTTCCACAGTCCCATTTTGAATCCTGGCCCTCGCTGGCTTTGTCATCTCCCAGAATCACTCTGGTGAGTGGACCCCATCCCCTGCTTCCATGGAACCCCTGACCCAGGGAGGTGGGATAGAGAAACTGACGCCAGCCAGCATCAGGCTCATTCTGCTGCAGAAGTGAAGTTTATTAGCAAAATGATACGAGATGCCTGCCACATCTCCAGGAGACCAGGAGGCAACAGACGAGATAAAATAGAGGACCCAGGACACCCTGAAGAGAAGAAGCACAAATTCAGGAGCAAGGGCTGCACTGCTGGACTTGAATGCCCATCAGAGACAGATGTCACCTTGCTTCAGTCTCTTCACCTGGCTAGCTGTGAGTCAGGCCATAGGGGACAAGGCCTGGAGAACAAAGACAAAGATGCTGCCACTTTGCCCATTTTCTTGCACCTCAGCATCGATTTGATGGGCAAGACCCACGAGAGGCCCGAGGAGGCCTGGAGAGGCAGGGAGGACATGGGGTGCAGGCCGCAGGGGCTGGGTAGGGGGTATTGGAGGCTGGGGTCGCACATGGGTTACAGGGAAGCCTACAGAGAGAGGAAAAAAAACAGGTATTTGGACCATTGGCATGAGAAATGCATAAAAGACTAAAGCATATAGACACTTTAAAACTCTACAGATAAAAGGGAATTTAAAGTCTTCAGAGTTCCTGTCATTTGGCCAAAATCTAGAAAGGGACAGTGACTCGCTCTGATTCCACAATGAAACTGAGACCAGAACTCAGGCTCCCCGGGTGCAAGACCATGTTAAGGAACGTCGCACAGAGACAAGTAAAAAGGCTGGAAGAACCGGAGTAGGCCAGATATCAGCTGCCTTATTAATTTAAACCAGGGGTAGGGAATGTCTGGCCAACAGACCGAGAACTCATTTGGTCTGACCCTGCCAAGGAAATTGCAGTTCCAGCAATCACATTAAGGGTGAATTCATAAAATGACCAAATATAGCAGGCTGATTTATAAGTTGATAATGTTGTATGGCATGAGAATGATGTTTAAATTTTGACAGAACAATGTTCCCCAACCCTGATTAAACAAAGCCCCAGTCTTGTTCCTTATTTATTAAAGTGGGGTACTTTACCATTGGACTGCTGAGGAACTAGAGTCCTGGGGTGGTGCTGTAGGATAAGCACTGGACTCCTAACTAGAGAGTTAGCAGTTCAAACCCACCAGCTACTCCTCAGAAATCCTATGCAGGATCGATATGAGTCAGAACTGACTCATTGGCACCTAACGTCAACAATTCAGGGACTAAAATGAGAGAATGGGTGTAATTTCTCTGAGCAATATTTTTAAATAAGTAGGAAAAATTCTTATACTGTAATTGTGGCTGTTAAGTCTCGTTGAGTTGCTTCAAAACCTAAATGCACTGACCTCTCAGTATTTCAGTCCCCTGTGGGAGTGGTTAGCAGTGGGGAGCACAATGTGGTCAGCAAATCAGGCTACATAAGCCAAGATACTGCACACTCATTATTTGTCTGGGCAGCTGCAAGCTCTCCAGGTCTACTGGACAGCAAGTTGGTCCCTAAAGACGGTATCTGCAATGCCACCCCCAACTGACCTCCAGGGCTCCTCTTAGGAGTCCTCTTGTTCCCAATAAGGGGGCTCTGCTTTTACACGTGACTTCAGCACAGACAACAGGGCACATACTTGCAGTCCTCGCTCTCCAGAAGGTCTCGGTACGTGGTGATCTCACCCTCCAGCCGGGCCCGGACATCCAGCAGCACCTGGTACTCCTGGTTCTGCCGCTCCAGGTCAGCCCGGATCTCAGCGAGCTGCTCCTCCACATTCCTGATCAGACCCTGCATCTGGGCCAGCTCAGTGCTGTAGCGGGCCTCAGATTCACACAGAGAGTTCTGCAGGCAGTTTTTCTGTAATACCAAAGGAAGTGGAAGTAGGTTGGAAAAGTTTTGATTCTTTACCCTCCACCCCTACAGTGACTAAGGCCATGACCTCCCAAGACATTGCCAGGACCCTAGGTCCACTGCCAGTAAAAGAAATGGAAAGCAGCCCAGTTGAGTCTTCAATAAAGGCTAAGGAAACCCACCAGGCCGTGCTGAGCCTGGAGTTCAATCTCCAAGGCGTTCACCGAGCATCTCAGCTCCAGGATCTCTGACTGGCAACACTGTAGCTCCTCAGAGCAGGACATGGCCTGCAGGCTGATGCCTTCAGACTGAAGCACAGGGACATAGACCACAGTCACTTAGTTATTCACTGACCCACAGCACAAGCTGCTCCCTCCCCGCTCTGCACACCGTCCTCACCTGAGCTTGGAACCACTGCTCCACATCCTGGCGATTGGTCTCCACCATGGCCTCATACTGGCACCGCATCTCCCCCAGCACCCTATTCAGGTCCACAGGGGGCTCAGTGTCCAGCTCAATCCGGAGCCTGTCTCCCAGCTGACACCTCAAAGTGTGGACTTCCTGTGGGCATAGGAGAAGGATATCCCATTCATGGGGCCTCCACAGCCTTCCACCCAGAACCTCGGCTCCCTCGCCTTGTTCTCCCCAGTGACTTTCCTGTAGTCTCCTGAGGATGACACACTGTCTGCACCAGCCCAGCAGCATTCAGATGCTGTGGATGAAGAGCAACCTCCTCACTGAAAGCCAGAGCCTATCTTAAAGGCTTGTGAGGCTTCTCCACAAGACAGGGCCCACAGAACTTCCAGCCCGAGCAGCAGGAAACCTCCTTTCTTTACCCCAGCAACTCCCAGCATATGACACAAAGGCCCACCTGCTCGTGATTCTTCTTGAGACAGAGGAGCTCTTCCTTCAGGGACTCCAGCTGGGCCTCCAGGTCACACTTGGCAAGGGTGAAGTCATCCAGGGCCCTGCGCAGGCCGCAGATATCAGCTTCCACCAGTTGGCAGAGTGAGTGCTCTGTCTCATACCTTGAGGGGAGCAGAACACAGGGTTCTGAGGCAGGGTAGGAAGGGGTACCAGCACACAACTTACAGCTGTAATTCCACTGGCCTGCCCTTTCACAGTCTAGTTGTAAGTTGGTTTTTCCTGTGTTGTGTGCTCATAGCCAAGAAAACAACAGGATTTCCCCCACTCACTCAATACTAAGCCCCTAAGGTGAACCAAAGAAGCCCTGGATTATGAGTTGGGGGTCAGCAGTTTCAATCTACCAGCCACTTTGTGGGAGAAAGATGTGACTTTCTGTTCCCATGAAGATTTACAGAAATACTATATAGGGTCACGATGAGTCAAAACCAACTCGATGGTATGCACCCACCATCACCATGATGAAGCAGGCAGAGCAGCTGATATTGAGAAGAGCACATTAAACATGCCAGCCAGTACATGCCCTCTTGAACTGATGGCCCGAAAAGGAGGCAGGAGAGTAACCAGACAAGTATGGTACAGTGTGATCATGGAAGGCCCTCCTCTTCTATCCCCATTACTAAGAACGAGCCTCGAGTCTCTCTCAGGTTAGAAGCCCAACTACCATAGTGCCAGAAGAACATGACTTTCTTTAGATCTAGAACACTGGGGCTTCACACGCCCTGGAGAAAGAAAAAACAGCGTAATACCCTTTCCTTCTCTCAGGCCCCATAGAGGTAGAGTGTGGAGCATGATTTCTGCCCGTGCTCCTATGTTAGTAGGGCTGAAATGCAGAAACATATCCATATCAAAGTGGTAGATTTAGGATGAAATGGACTCAAGGTTGGAAACCTGGCCCAAGTTCCTGTCCTATCTCTCAGCTATATGCTGAAGTGCTCTGAGCCTCAATGTTCTCACCTACAAAATGGGGACGACATCATTGCCCACCTGCCTGCCTGCCTGCCTGCCTCTCAAGGTTGTTCTTCTAATAAAATCCATGGGATGATGTCTTCTAAAGCATGTTGGAACCTATAAATGCTAAACTATTGGAGAAGACCTGTTTCAAGATCTTGAACTGAATGTACTGTTTCTCCTGCCACAACCCTTCGGGGGGAGGCCATAATCAGTTGCTGGTGCCAGTTACATCACTGAAGAGAAGAAGCCTGTTACACCCCAGCTCACTTGGTTCTGAAGTCGTCTGCAGCCAGCTTGGCATTGTCTATTTGCACGACCAGCCTGTTGTTCTCAGATTTGATGCACAGGATCTGGGGAAAGAAAGTTAGCTCAGTGATTCACTGTTCTTGGTACCACCTCTAGCCTGTCTTCACCTAAGGCTTTTAAAAAACATGGAATTGGTAATCAAAGGGACCAGCTGATGTGCACAAGAGGTCCATGCCCAGCACATCGAGAATATGAGAAAATGCACACCCTTCGGACTCCTCTGACCCAACATCCTGCACAAGAAGTTTGGTTGCTTACATGAAACTAGCAGTTTTTTTAACTAACATACAATTTAGGGATTGGAAATTTTGTCATAGAGGTTATGAGTCGGGCTGCTAACCTCAAGGTCAGCAGTTGAAAACTACCAGCTGAGAAAGATGAGACTTTCTGCTCCTGTAAAGATTTAGAGCCTCGGAAACCCTACGTAGGGTTGCTATGAGTCAGAACCGACTCCACGGCACATAACCACCACCATCAATCACCACACGCATGAACTCAGAATGCTGGAGAATCAGATTCCAGAGCTCACCCTTTATACACATTCTCATTCTCCCTCACACAAGAGAGTCTCTCCCACAATCAAAAAGACATTGCAGCTGTGTTATTTCCACTTCTAATTCAAGTGCTGAACATTTTCCATAAAAGTTAGCAAACTTTTTCTATAATGGGCTGCATGGTAAGTAGTTTAGGCTTGCAGGCTATACAGTCTCTGTTATAACTATTCAACTTTGCCATTGTAGCGCAAAAGCAGCCATAGACAATATGTAAATGAATGAGAGTGGCTGCGTGCCAGTAAAACTTTATTTACAAAATCAGGCAATAGGTTTGATTTGATGCATCCCCGAGATAGAGATACACAAAGCTCACCTTCTGCTGGAGCTCCTCAATGGTCCGGAAATGGGACTGGTAGTCTGGGCACACATAGGGTTCCTGGCATTTGCTGAACTCTCGGATCTTGGTCTCCAGCTCCGCGTTGTCCTGCTCCAGCTGCCGCACCTTCTGCAGATAGTTGGCCAGGCGATCATTCAGGAACTGCATCGTCTCCTTCTCATGACCGTTCAGGGTGCCTTCACCACAGGACCCACAGCTTCCAATGTTGCCTGGAATGTGGCAGGACCCAGGCAAGAGGCAAGCAGCGTTACAGCTGGGCGGCAGACAGAGGCTGGGTCGGCCCAGGGGCGTTGACCCCACACGGACTCGGTTGGCATGAGCCAGGTTGGCCGAGAGGCACTGGGAGGCAGCCTTGGCCTTTGAAACCCGCCCACTGAGGCGGGAGCCGTAGCAGTTAGAAGTCATGGAGTTAGAAGTCTAGACTCCAGTTTGCCCAGGATTGGACTTCGTTAAGGCTGAAACCTGCCTTCTCCTCTAGACCTTATATAGGCCTGTAGTGGGTGTTGGTGTAAGAAAACTGGCATTTTCCTCATTAATATTTATGTTGATTGTTATACAATCACTCTATTAGTCAGTGATTTTGTCTCCTATAAAGAGTTAATTAGCTCATGAAAGAGGCTTCAACCTTCACAGGATGCTTCCCACCATAGCAGGATCCTCGAAAACAGAGAAAATGAGATCTTCAAACTGGCCACATTACGCAGCTATAAAATTTCCCCCTTCTGCCAGCTTATGGGTGTGAAATAATCAAGAACCAATGACTGAAAATTTCCTCAAAGTTTCACTTTTGTCTTTTCCTACCCTTAAAATGTTTCCATCATTGCAAAGTCTAAAATATTCGTCAATTGGACACTTTAGAAGAAAGAAAATTCATAATTCAGTTAGTTTCAACAGATATTTCTGGTATGCCCTGAGTAGAAACACTGAGTAGTAAGCCTACTGGGCAGTGGATCGTTGGTAAGTGCTGTCTAGTTAGTTCTAACTCATAGCGACCCTGTGTTAGGTTTCCAAGAAGCAGTTGGTGGGTTTGAACCACTGACCTTGCAGTTAGCAGGTCAATGTTTTTCCTACAGTGCCACACCAGAACTCTCAGGCATTAGCTATATTTTAATAAGAGGGAAAAGATGGCAAATGACCTTGATGTCATAAAGGCCATAGTCCTGGTGTGACACTGTCGGATAAGCACTGGACTGCTAACCACAGCCTGGCAGTTCAAACCTACCAGCTAGCTACTCCTTGGAAATCCTATACAGAGTCACTATGAGTTGGAACCAACTGAATGGTACTTAATAAGAAAACATAAGAGTGGGTATAAGAGAGAGTTGTGATGATTTCAAGGTAGAAGAGAGCACTTTGAGAAGAAAATGACTTCATGGAGAAGAGGCCATTTTAAATGTGTTTTGAAAGATGGTTTCCATGGGAAGTTGAGGGAAAGAATATCTCTCACTGAGCCAAAATAAGCAAAATGAAAGAAAAGAAGCAGCCATATTTGGGAAATGGCAAATACTGTGGTTTTGTTGTCCCTTATGATGAAGACATCAAGGCCAGCAATGGAAAATTGTGTTGGGTCCAAGATGTGGGAAGCCTTGAATGCCAGTTCCATTCCACATATAGGCTTCTGGTAAAAGCAATTCAAAGATAGGGATTTTCCCCTGGAAGCCAGTGTTCCTGAAATATGAGGAAAATCAATAACCAGGTTCCTCTTGGCAGAAAGCAAGAGTAAAGAAATAGAAGGTTTCTTTGTGAATGTAAAAAAGCACAAAGCTAGAACAATGAAAAGGAAAACCTAATTTCAAGATTGATTTTGATGTCTGGAAACATACACAGTTTTAAATAAGTCGTGGGCCAAAGAAGAAAACAAACGACAAATTTCATAAGGATCTTGAACTGAATTAAAATGAAAATACCACTTACCAAATTGATTTGGGCAATTAAGACTATCTCGGTGCAAATGTGAAACAGATCAAATATACAGTTTTGGAAGGGGAAGAGGGACTAATGAATGAAACTGGATAATTTGTGATTCCCAAGAAATGAAATGATGTTCTTGTGTATTTGAGTCTATGGGCTAATTAAGGAGAGCAGTGATTAATACTTTATGGTGTCTGTTCTCAGGAGCCTCCCCCACCTTTCCAGGCAGCTGCCCTGATTAAACACTGACCCTCTCACCGGACTGAGTCCTGCTCACCTTGTTTACAGAAGATATGCCCTTGAGAACTTTGATCCTCTTCTTTTGAAATGTTCTTGTGTTTCTTTGAAATGCACCTCCTTTAATTGTCTATTACTTGGGAGACTCTAGGACAAAATTTAAATTTCCTTAATCTTCAGACATACTCAGAGCATCTGCAAGCTTCATAGCCTACTTGAGTTCTAAAACAAGCAGCCAATGGTCAGTGGTTCAATAAACCAGCCCGTCAGCTTCAAGACTATGCTAACCAAGACGCAACTTTGACGCCATTCTTTTCTTCTTCTTTTTTTAACTTTTTTATTGTGAATTGAGTAAAGGTTTGCAGACTGGATCTTCAATTTTACATTCAACAACCCATACACTTTGCTTCACTATATGGTTGCAATCCCCTCCATGTACCAACAGTTAGCAGCATTTGCCTCTACCCACTTTAACTATTACCATTCCTTCTTGCGTCTCCAGCTACCTTTATCTTTCCTCTGCCACTCTCCCTCATGTTATATATTGCCTGCCCTGTCACCCAGGTTAACATGTATCTATCCTCTAGCCCATAAATTCCCTCCCTCTCCCCTTCCCATAACCATCATAGATTGTTTTGTTAATCATGAAAATCTTTTTTTTAACTCTTTACAACATTGGTCTCATATGATGTTTGTCCTTTTGTGAATGTCGTGCTGCGGGTTAATGCACTAAACACAAGGTTTGTGGTTCAAGCTCACTAGCCACTCCTCAGAAACCCTATATAACAGGGTCACTATAGGCAATGGCACTGACTCGATGGCACTTAGCAACAACAAAAATTTCACTCAGGATAATGTCCTCCAGGTTCAACGATGTTGAGAGATGTTTCACAAATTCATCATTATTCAACATTTTGTAATATTCCATTGTGTGCACATACCAAAGTTTGTTTAATCATTTTTCTGTTGATGGGCATTTAGGCTGTCTCTGTCTTCTTGACATGTCTCTCGTAGACAGAATATTGAAGGATTCTGGTTTCTTATGTGTTCTGCTCTTTATGTCTTTCGACTGGTACATTTAATCCATTTATATTCAGTGTAATTATCAGTAGGTATGAATTGATTGTTGTCATTTTTCTATGTGGTTTTTTTTGTGTGGTGCTGCTGGATTTTTTTTGTTTCACACAATTTTCTATGCTCAGTTCATTTTATTTGGGGGTTTTCTTTGTCATTGTCATTTCTGTTGTGTTAATGTTTACTAAGTCTTTCTGATTTTCCTCTTTTTTTATTTTGATGTGCAGGTGTATTATTTTTCTTTGAGACCACCCTGTAATTGATAAATTTTTACCCCTGGTTAAACCAGTCTGTTTTATCTTGAAAGCTACTTGACTTCCTTGACATTGGAAGTTCTGTATCTACACTATATTCCCTTTTTCCTTTGTAGCTGACTTCACCATACATTGTTATCTCTGGTTCCCTATGTTCAGTCTTGTAGGTTGGTTTAACTTTAAATACTTTTATATCTATATTGAGTTCTGGGTGGTGTTGCCATGTATTGTAACATCAGGTTGTTGTCTGCTGTTGGTCCTCAGTTCAAAGAACACCCTTTAGCATTTTTGAAAAGTTGGTCTGGTCATTACAAAGTCCTTAATTTCAGTTTATCAGAAAAATGTCCTAATTTCACTGTGGTGTTTGAGGGTTTGAGAGACAGCTTTGCTGGGTATATTATTCTTGGTTAACATTCTTTGTTTTTTCTTTCAAAGTTTTGTATATGTCATCCCATTGCCTTCTTGCCTGCATGGTTTCTACTGAGAAATCAGAGATTAGTCTTATTGGTTCTCCTTGGTAGATTGCTTTTCATTTATCCCAAGCTGCTCTCAAGATTCTTTCCTTGTCTTTGATCTTGGAAAGTTTGATTATGATATGTCTTAGTGATTTTATTTTGGGATCTATCCTGTGTAGGATTCATTCCATTTCTTGTATGCATATCTTCTCGTCTTTCATGATGTTAGGGAAGTTTTCTTCCAACAACTCTTTGACAATTTTCTCCGTGCTTGTCTCTTTCTGTTCTGGAATTCTGATCGCCCATAACTTGTTCCTCTTCATGATGTCCCACATAGCTGTGAGGCTTTCTTCAGATTTCCTTATTCTTTTTCTCTGACTGTTCTTTAAGCATACCAGTACCGAATTATGTTGATTCGCATCTACTCCTTTGCCCCTTTAATGTATTGTCCATTTCAGAGATCTTAGTATTAATCTTCTAATTGGATTTCTAATTGCAGGTTTTATATTGTTTCAAAATTTCCATTTATTTTGTCTGCTCTTGTAGTGTTTTCCTGAATTCTTCTAAAGGTTTTATTATATTCTCCTTGCTTTCCTCAATCTTTCTATTGCTCCTTTGAAGGTACCTAGTTACATTCCTTTGAATTATATTTCAATTAGTTCTATTACCTTTTCTTCCTCAAAACATCTTCTGGCTCTGCATCTTGGTCATTTGTTTGAACCATTCTCTTTTGTTTCTTCATGTGAGCTAAAATTGTCTGTTGTCTCTGGGGCATTGTGAGGTTGTCACATTTGTAAAAACAAACAGTAAACTTATTGGATCCAGAGGGGAAATATCACTGGTGAGGGGTAAGGGGGTTTGGTGGTGGTGGCTATATGCTGGGGAGTTGATTTCCATAGCGACCGTGTATAGGGTTTCCGAGGCTGTAAATCTTTGCAGGAATATAAAGCGTCATCTTTCTCCCATGGAACCACTGATAGTTTCAGACTGCTGACCATGAGATTAGCAGTCCAACTCATAACCATTACGCTAACAGGGTCCTGCAATTCAAGGGGCCTATCAGGGGATTGTCAACCATTCATCTGTCGGTTTGTCATACTATGGTGGCTTGTGAGTTGCTGTGATTCTGAAAGCTATGCCATGGGTATTTTAAATACTAGCAGGGTCACCCACAATGGATAGCTTTCAGATGAGCTTCCAGATGAAGACAGACTACGAAGAAGGAGTGATGAACTACTTCCGAATATTTAGTCACTGAAAACCTTATGGATAACAGAGAAACACTGTCAGATATAGTGCCAGAAATTGAGCCCCTAAGGTTGGAAGGCACTCACAATGAGACTGGGGAAGAGCTGCCTCCTCAAAGTAGAGTTGACCGTGATGATGCAAATGAAGTAAAGCCCGTGGGAGAAAAGTCCATGGGACTTTCATTTGCTGATGGGGCACAACTCAAAATAAAGAGAAATAGCTGAAA